TGCTCAGCCAGCCTGCCTGGTCCTGCCGCTGAGCAGCCCGGATCGGAGATCCGTCCCGCTCCGCCCAGACTTGTTGGAGCAGAGGCTGGAGTGGGTGGAGGCGGCGGGTTCCCACGCGATGGAGGAAGCTTTCATCTTCCGTGAGTGCATCAGCCGACGGCCCAGCCGTATCCAGTCTCCTCCAGCAAGATGGGTGCCGCTGGCGGGTTTCCGACTGTCCCTTAGAGCTGTGGCTTTCACTGCCGGCCGAGAGAAGCTCCCAAATAAGATTTTTATTATTATTGCTAGAGGCCCAGTGCACAAAATCGTGCAAGGGACTCGGCCCTCGCAGCCAAAGCTTCATCCGGAAGGTCATCTGGAAGGACGTCCAGAAGGTCGTTCGGCTATCCGGTCTAATTAGCATATTACTCTTTTATTATTATAGATAATTATTATTATTTTTTTTTTTACCAGCAAATGGTAAATGGAGTCATTTCCCTCAGATTTACACAGCGGAATGTTCAAAGCACAGAGATAGACATTTCTCAAGGGGTTTTTTTCACGATCTTTTCTCTTATTATTATTTTTTTTCTTTAAGCTTTTCAGCTCAGCTGGCGTGGCTCAGTGGTTGAGCATTGACCTATGAACCAGAAGGTCATGGTTCAATTCCCGGTCAGGGCAAAGGCCAGGGTGGGGGGCATGCAGGAGGCAGCTGATCAGTGATTCTCTCTCATCATTGATGTTTCTCTCTCTCCCTCTCCTTTCCTCTCAGAAATCAATAAAATATGTACATATTTTTAAAAGCTTCTCAAATGTACGCCAGTTGAGAACTAAAAGAAGGGAAATGAGAATCCCACAACGTGACTTGGGAAACAGCCCAAAGGGGCCCCACGCTCCTGCCTCAGTGCCCTGGGCTCCGGCCCGGCCCCTCCACCGCTTTCTCCCAGAGGCCATGTGCTGATGTAAAAGAACTAGAATAAACACGGAGAACATTTTCCTAAAGAACTAGCTGCCCAGGCTTGTTTGATGCCTTCCTTGTTATTTCTGGGAAAATGCTGTTGTCATCGTCTCGTCCCAGTGAGCTGCTTTGCTCGTCTTAGGGGAAGGAATTCAGGCCAAAAACAGAACAGAACAAACACCTTTGGTCCCTGTTCACCAAAATGTGCCCGACGGCGGCTGAACGAATCCCTCATTGTCTCTGCACGTCTCCGTGGGAGACACGTTCTTCAGCAAAGCAGCAGCCCCTTGGTCCCTGTCGCTGCCTCCTTGTGGCCAAAAGTAATGAGCCCGAGGCCCATCGATGCCACTCTCACCGGCCTTTGTTCTGTCTCCTTCAAGCTTCGCCACGAGCTGCGTTGTGACGGGGAGCAGCGTGCAGTGTTCCTGCAAACCTGGCTACACGGGAGCGCAGTGCGAAAGGTGGGTTCTGCCTCTGCCCCCCCACCCCGCCCCCAGCCAGCCTGCAGGTGGGGTGGGCCCTGCAGGTGAGGGGGCTCTGCAGGGGGCTCTGCAGGTGGGGGGAGCCCTACAAGTGGGGGAGCCCTGCAGGTGGGGGGGCTCTGCAGGTGGGGGAGCTCTGCAGGTGAGGGGGCTCTGCAGGTGGGGGGAGCCCTGCAGGTGGGGGATGGCTCTGCAGGTGGGAGAGGGCCCTGCAGGTGGGGGGAGCCCTGCAGGTGAGGGGGCTCTGCAGGTGGGGGAGCTCTGCAGGTGAGGGGGCTCTGCAGGTGGGGGGAGCCCTGCAGGTGGGGGAGCCCTGCAGAGGGGAGAGGGCCTTGCAGGTGAGGGGGCCCTGCAGGTGGGGGAGCCCTGCAGGTGAGGGGGCTCTGCAGGGGGGTTCCTGCAGGGGGGCCGCTGCAGGCACCTGGCTGTGGGCAGGGCTCAGAGCTGGGGTGGGGCTGTGGTTTCCCTGAGGCTGGAAAAAGGTCTTGGGAAAAATGCAAGACGCTCACTTAACAAATCATTAACTTCTTCCCCTTTCCTGTGTGTACACTGTTCAGAAACTTGAGAATAAGGTCCAATAGGCCATAGTCCTATGTGCTCCCCAACATGCACCCCTACACACTCCTACCCCGTGCACACCCCTATATACTCCTTCCCTTCATATTCCCATATACCTCTTCCCCTCCACATCCCTGCATCCTCCTCCCATACATATCCCTACATCCCCCACCTCCATCTAAGTTCATCCCTACATCCTCTGCCCCTACATATGCACACCCCTACCCCACACACATCCCTACTCGCCTGTACACACACACATACTCCAACATGCAAACACATCCCCACAGCCCTAGACACTCCTACACACACACGCACACGCACACGCACACACACCTCTACATCCCCACGCAGTACTTTAGGGTTAGCGACACGCCGGCACAGCCGAGCACTGTGAGGGCAGCGGAAGGCCCTTGTAAGCTGGCTGGGAAGGTAGCGCACACGTATTTGGAAAAGAAACCGTGTAACAGCCGCATCATACGGACACCGTGCTTTTAAATTTAAAATGACTTTATCTTAAAATCAATACATATTTATTATAAAGGTGATGTCATGCAGGTGAGCAGGGAACCGAGGAGGCCCACCACACTCTCTCTGGCCTCTGTCCACACCTGGCCGAGGCCTGACAGTCCCACTCACGTCTGTCCTCCCTTAGAAAACCACGGAGAAAGGCTGCTGTCTGTGCCCACAGCCTTTCTGCAGGCGCAGGCTGTCTTGACAGCAACTGTAGCCCCTCTCTTTCCTTCTGCTTTGGCTTGTTTTCTCACCTAACGGTATGTTAGCAGCACCTTCCCACGTCAGCGCGTGCCCGCTGGTGATCCCTCCCCGGTCAGCGCGTGCCCGCTGGTGATCCCTCCCAGGCCAGCGCGTGTTCATGATAATAGCGTGTCTGGCTCCTTGTGCGTGTTGCTCACCTGCCGTCCGGCGATAGGGGTCCCTGAGGGCTCGCCCTCCTGGGGGCCCAGGAGGAAGGCAGCGTCTCTGCCTGCACCCCACTCTCACATTCTCATTCAAGCCATAGACACACATTCCTGAAAACCCACTGAGCCGTCCTCTGATGGGGTGCCACAGCCCAGGCGGGGCTGGAGCAGGAAGTGGGAGAGAGCAATGCTGAGCTCTTTGCGTGTTCCTCCTCTTCTGTACTTGGCACAGGTGTGCGCCAGGATACTTCGGGAATCCCCAGAAGTTGGGAGGTAGCTGCCAGCCTTGCAGCTGTGATAACGGCCATCTGGGCAGCTGTGACCCCCTGACCGGAGGTAAGATCCACCGGTACCCCTGTTACCTGCCTGTATCAGGCCGGTGCAGAGGAGCGGCGAGGAGCCCCAGTCAGCGCTGTCAGGAAGCCTAGTGCCCCAGCTAACAAACGGCCCTTTATTTCGACACCCGGTGGAATGCCCAGGCGGCATTTTCCGCTGGTGGGTAACTTATTTCGAGTAGGTTGCTGTAAGTAAATGGTTTTTATTTTATTTTATTTTTTTTTTTTAATATATGGTGCTGTAATCAATTATCCGACACGCAGAATGTCTCGTTGAGCACTGTTGCACTGTATATCTTTTTCTTCTAACCCTCCCACTCCTGTCTCCTAACGAACATGGCGATCAAGTGCGTTCGTTTGCCGAATGCACCCAAACGCACGGGAAGCTTACCCGAGGCACATGTTGACAATAACGAGGCTGTTTCCAGAATTGGGCATTTTGTCACTCGAGTAAAAATAAAATGTCGCCCTAACTGGTTTGGCTCACTGGATAGAGCGTTGGCCTGCGGACTGAAGGGTCCCAGGTTTGATTCCAGTCAAGGGCATGCACCTTGGTTGCAGGCACAAGTAAATGGTTTTTAAATGCAGCTTTTAAAAAATGTATTGCTTTCAGAGAGAGAGGAAGAGAGAGAAATACCCATTTGTTTATCCACTTATTAAACATTCACTGGTTACTTCTTGTATATATCCTAACCAGGGTTCGAAAAAAGTAAATTGTTTTCAACTCATTTTTTAAATTTTTGTTTTACTTTATTTTCCCCTCTATGCCCTCTTCCACCTCCACCCATCCCCCCTATCCTCTGCAATCCCGCACTTGTCCATGTCCATGAGTTGCAGCCAACGTAACCTCAGTTCTGATGGCTTTGCTGGGACCTCTGTTTCATGGGGTTGGCAGGAATGTCTGCAGGGGTACAGGAGGCTGTCCCATGAAGAGGGACGCCACACTAACGATGAGGAGTTTAATTTATAAGAATAGATGCTGATTCATAGAGAAGAAACTGAGTATAAAACCAGAGGCCAAAGAGAAGCTCCTACCGCAAGGTGGCGGGAGACGAGAAAGCTCCCCACGCGGCGGCGGGGGTGGGAGGGAGCGGGCAGAGCCGTGACGGCAGGTAGTGTGGAGGCTGAAACCTTGCAAACCAGCTCTTCTGAAAGCCGTCAGGAAGCAGGTGACGATGCGCATGTGACCCTGTCTCCTTTGGCCATCCTCCCCTCAGACTGCCTCAGCCAAGAGCCCAGTGACGGCGGCCCTGGCGAGGACTGTGACGGTGAGTGCAGACAGCGCCCCTCCCTCCCGCTGTGCGTTCCTTCCTGAGAGACCTGAGCCCCCGTCGGGACCACGCAGTGTCCAGTCCGGGGAAGCAACAGGAGGAGGGGGCAGGAGGGCTGTTTAAGGTCAAATCCAGCCTCTGTCCGCAGCGGTATGACCTTGGGCAGGTGACCCAACTTCTCCAAGTCATCGTTTGCAAAATGGACATGATAACTAGGTCAACCTCACTAGGGTTGTGGGAGAAATTCTTCTAAATCTCTTATCACAAGCCTGGTAAATAGCAATAAATAACGAAATATTGTTCCCTCATATAAAATAAGCAACAATTCACACAGACTCACCATTTTTTCTTTCTTTCCAGTTTTATTGAGATATAATTAACACAACATTGTATTCATTTAAGGCAGTGGTCGGCAAACTTCGGCTCTCGAGCCACATGCGCTTCTTTGGCCCCTTGAGTGTGGCCACGAAGTTTCAATCGCGCTGTACATGCGCACCCGCACGTGGTATTTTGTGGAAGAGCCACACTCAAGGGGCCGCAGTATGCCGACCACTGGTTTAAGGTGTACAACACAATGATTTGGTGTATACACACACACACACAGTAAAATTATCACAAGAAGTTTAGTTAACATCCATCATCTTACATAGAAATTTGTTTTCCTGTGATGAAAACTTCTACTCTTTTAGCAACTTTCAACTATGCGAGAGTATCGTTAACTCTAGTCGCCACGCTACACCTTACATCCCCAGGACTCCCGTATCTTATAACTGGGCGTTTGTACCGTTCCCACCTCCCCCCACCCCACTTCTTTCTAAGACGCAGCCTGCCTAGAGGCCTCCCCTTTCAGAGTCTGCGTCCCCCCAAGAGGTCTAGGGCTGTGATGTTTGCCTGTTGGTCCAGGGCCTGTTAACTGGCCTGTGGAGCCCTCGGGCCTGTTTGCACGCCTGTGGCCCAGCCTGCAGAGCACGTGCCTTTGGTTGTGGCCCCACAGACTGCGACAGCTGCGTCGTGACCCTCCTGAACGACCTCGCCGCCCTGGAGGACGAGCTCCGCCTCGTCAAGTCGCAGCTGCAGGGGCTGAGCGCCAGTGCGGGCACGCGGCAGCAGATGGGGCTCCTGGAGACCCAGACCGAGGACCTGCGGGTGAGCAGCCTGGGGCCCGGCAGACGCTGGGGGTGAGACCCGGGGGAGTAGATGCTCCTGAGTGACGGTCCTCAAGCAGGAAGGAGGTCGGCTCCCCTCCTGCCTCTGCCCCCATGGAGGTCGGGCTCTCATTGAGGTGCAGTTGCCTGCAGTGTGGTCGTGGCTTCATGGGGGTGACACAGCGATCGCCACGGCAGGTCTGGTCGCCTGTCACCACAGAGCGGGGACAGCGTGTTGACCGTTTTCTCCGTGCTGCCTGTTACTTCCGGGACCTATTTATTCTATAAATGGAAGTTGTTGTGTGTTTTCTAAAATATATATTTTTATTGATTTCAGAGAGGAAGGGAGAGGGGGAGAGAGAGAAACATCAGTGAGGAGAGAGAACCATGGATCGGTTGCCTCCTGCACGCCCCACTCTGGGGATCGAGCCCACAACCCAGGCCTGTGCCCTGACCAGGAATCAAACCGTGACCTCCGGGTTCATAGGTTGACGCTCAGCCACTAAGCCACGCCGGCCAGGCAATATAAATGAAAGTTTTTAACCTTTACTCCCCTTCACCTTTTCTGTCCCCCCTCCCCCCCATCACCCCCTCTGGCAATCATCTCTCTGTTCTCTGTATCCACGAACCCCTTTCTGTTTTGTTTTATTTGTTCATTTGTTTTGTGTTTTAGGTTCCACATATAAGTGGAGCCATACAGTATTTGCCTTCTCTTTCTGACTTGTTTCACGTAGACTAACACATTGTTACTGATGGAACATATTAGTAAACACACAAAAGTAGCACTTCCCAGTGGACATGCCTGACTTCCTGAATGTGTCTGGGCTATTTTTCTCATACAGTCTTTTGCATTGAGAAGACTCAAAAACAGATTTGTGTAAAATTGTTGTTAATTCTTCTTTAAATGTTTGATGACGTTTCCAGGGAAGCCTGTGGGCTCTGCAGCCCTGGCATGGACCAGCCGCCCACCTTCCCTGCTTCCTTTGCCTCATTTGTAAGACGAGGCGTCCGTCTCTCAGCCTGGGTTCCCCTGTTGCCCCACCAGCTTTGCCTCTCAGGGTCCCTTCAATAAAGTAGCCACGGGCCCGGCTCTCATGTTATAAGGTAACAATAGGTTACAAGCAGCTGAATGTATTATAGAATCTGGAAACTAATACATCAGGTAAGTGGTGTCACTCTCATTTCTATAGGTTATTCATTCAAGCAAAGTATCTCTTATCCTTTCACTTTTTAAACGTTGCCATTTTTATTGTAGAGCTGTGTCACCATTTATATCAGAAAGTAGGTTCTTGCCCAGCCGGCGTGGCTCAGGGGTTGAGCGTCAACCTATGAACCAGGAGGTCAGGGTTCGACTCCCGATCAGGGCACAGGCCTGGATTGTGGGCTTGATCCCCATTGTGGGACGTGCAGGAGGCAGCTGATGGACGGTGTTTCTCTCAGTTATTCTCTCTCATCATTGATGTTTCTCTCTCTCTCTCTCCCTCTCCCCCCTCTTCCTCTCTGAAATCAATAAAAAAATTTAAAAAAGAAAGTAGGTTCTTCATGCAGCCTATTTCAAAGAACCATGTTTCTTCCTGCGGAACCAGCGTTGGTCTTGCTAATGAGCCTTTCATGTCATCACCAGGTTTACCAAGTTGATAGGACTTAACCCAAATTTCTGCTGAAAGTAAGATCCACTCTGTGATTGACTTTCAGAACCAGCTGCTCAACTACCGCTCCGCCGTTTCACACCAAGGCTCAAAGGTGGATGGCTTGGAACAGGAACTCAGTCATCTGAATCGTGAATTTGACACTTTGCAAGAAAAGGTAATGTGTTAGGTCAATAACATTACCTTTTCGTTTGTACTTTCAAAATATTGTTAATTCACCCCCCGCCCCATTAACGTAGTTTGTTTGCTCATCCATTTATTTTTTCATGTAGGTTCAAATAAACTCCAGAAAAGCACAAACGTTATATAACAACCTTGATCGGACAGCCCAAAGCGCCAAAGAGCTGGACACAAAGATTAAAAATGTCGTCCGCAATGTGCACGGTAAGCAGTGACTCAGTCCGATGATCCGTTAACTGTTTTATGTTACTTAACCTGTGTCTGCACTCGGAAAGGTTTTCCTTTAAGTTCAACATCATGAGGAAGATCCTATATCCTATAGTGGTAATAAAACAACTAATACTGCCGAGCCTGTGGCTCAGGGCTGAGCGTCCGACCTAGGAACCAGGAGGTCATGGTTCAATCCCCGGTCTGGGCACGTACCCGAGTTGTGGGCTTGATCCTCAGTTGGGGGCGTGCAGGAGCAGCTGGTGGATGGTGTTTCTCTCTCTCTATCCCTCTCACTTCCCTTCTCTCTAAAAATCAGTTAAAAATGTTTAAAAATCTAATATGAACCCTAAAAAATACCTACCTATTGTACATCGTCTGCTGGAGCCCGGAACGCCCAGTCTAACCCTCCTTGCTGTTCTCCAGTCCTGCTGAGGCAGGTCTCGGGGGCAGACCCAGGAGGACACACCCTGCCCCCCGGCGAGATCCCCAGGAAGCTGGCCGACGCCCAGCGCATGCTGAAGGAGCTGAGGGGCCGCGACTTTGCAAGGAACCTGAGAGACGCAGAGGCTGAGAAAAGAGAGGCGCAGCTGCGTAAGGGCGTTCCCCACTCTTACACCCGCCCATTCTGATCCGTTTGAAATCCCAGGTGCCAAGTGCAAGACCGAGTCCCCAGAACCAAGTGGAGGGGTCCAGCTTCCGTGTCTGTCACGTTGGAGAGGCCTGGGGTGAAAGGGCAGCCGTCCACACCCCTGAGAGGATGTGGAAGGTGACATCTCACCATCAGGCAGAAGGGGGTCTCCTCCTAAGATCGTAGACGCAGACACCCTGCTCCATTTTACTGCATGTCCGTCCTTCTCCCCTCCAGCTCCTCCCAACTTTCTCGTTGTATCATTTTTGAAAGGTTACCCCACCCCCATCAGGGTTTGAATTACTAACGGATATTACCATTATTATTTGCAAAAACAAAAAATGGACAGAGTAGACGTGAACGGAATATACCTAAAGTTTTAATTTAATTAGGGGAAATGCCTCGTTAGCTGAAAACTGAGAAATATTAGTGTGGAGCATATTTTTTCAAATGCCGTTCATCATTCTCTAGGAAAATAAAGTTATCCCTGGCTCATTGATCACCGACACAGGCAGTAGCAGCTTTCTTTCAGCGTCTGTGCTGTTTAAATGTTAAAATTAGCCTGGCCTTGACCTGCAAGGAGCCGGCACGGAGGGAGGAGGGGCACGTGCTGAGGACTCTGCAGACCTCGTCTGGTCCCGCGTGGCCGCCGTGCACTCCTGGGTCATCGCCTTGTTTCCCAGTCTCCGTGTCCTTATGGGAAACGTGAGGATGAGTCACTCCTGTTCTCACGTGATGAGCACAAACGTTAGTGAGGCAACGGGTACGACGACAGAGCAGGTGCTGCCTGCATGTCAGTTCCTTTCCCGTCCCCTCGCAGATTCGAGGAGGGTCATGACATGTTTAGAAGCTCAGTTCTCCTCTGCAGCCTCTGTAACGTAGCGGCCGTGCGCATCTCCTGTTGTGTGTGTTTCAGTGCTGCACCGGGTCAGGAGCTGGCTGGACACCCGCCCGGGGGAGCACAGTGGGCTTGCTCAGAGCATCCGGGACTCCTTAAATGACTACGAGGCCAGACTCTCGGGCCTCCGGGCTGCACTGCAGGAGGCAGCCGCCCAGGCCAGGAAGGCCACTGGCCTCAACCAGGACAGTGAGCGGGCTTTGGAGTCCATCCAGGTGAGTCCCAACGGCATCTGCCCACGGTCACTAGGACAGAAGAAGGGTGACGGCTCTCTTGTGGATTAAATGGCATAGCCAGGACTGTCTGTGCATCTAGTCTGTATGCACCTCTCTGCGTGGGGAACCCTCTAATCAAGCAGGAACGAGGCATTAAGGCATCAAGTGCAAAAGTCCTCAGTTGCCAGAAAAGATTCTGAACTTAAACCACAGAGAAAGGAGAGCACCCCCCACCCCACCCGGCTGCCAGAGTCCTAAAGGAATAATGTTACCGAGTAGATGAGAAACTAAACTCATACTGTTATTCATTCAAAGTATATAGTATGTTTATTTAAATATATTTTTATTGATTTCAGAGAGGAAGGGAGGAGAGAGTGAGAACATCAATGATGAGAGAGAACCATTGATCAACTGCCTCCTGCACGCCCCACACTGTGCCCTGACCAGGAATCAAACTGTGACCTCCTGGTTCCGAGAGTGACGTGCAACCCCTGAGCCACGCCGGCCGGGCGTACATAATATGTTTTAAGTAACTTCTGTCAGATGCGTGAACATCATGGTCACAATCACCAGCAGGGGCATGTTAAACCATGACCTGCTTTTCTGGAAGTAAATGGAACACAGGCCTCATCTGGAGCTGATCGGGCAGGACTGTGGGCCCGCGATGCTGTCGAGCGCGTTCCCAGTGGTGAGCATTGTGTGCAAAACCAGCAACAGGAGCGTGAGAGGTTAGGAAAGGACAGGAAGACCTGAGTGGAACAGCATAGGACTGATTCCAAAAAGAACTTGGTTCCCGGCTGGCGTGGCTCAGTGGTTGAGGGTTGACCTATGAACCAGGAGGTCACCGTTCGATTCTGGTTGGGGCACATGCCCTGGTTGCGGGCTCGATCCCCAGTGTGGGGCGTGCAGGAGACAGCTGATCAATGATTCACTCCCATCATTGATGTTTCTCTCTCTCCCTTCCTCTCTGACATCAAATATATAACAAGTCCTACAAAGAACTGGTGAATTATATATAGCATTCAAATTCTCTGCCAGCTATTGTGCATACATAGGAGTGAGGAACACATGCCTGTAACTTTGAAAATCCCTCATTCTTCTCCACACTCGGAGCTTAGTTCCCTGTCCTCCAGGCCTGAGAGGCCCCCGATAGAAACCCCGGTCAGAATGGTAACTGCTGTTTCTCTGGCCTGAGGGAACCAGGACGGCGCCGCCGCAGGGAGAACAGTGTCCCTCCCTCTTAGTCCCAGAACGCATTCTGACTGAGATTGCTCCTGTGCTGGTCTCCATGAGCAGGCCTGCGCCTGCTGACGACATAGTCTGCGCTCCCGCCAATACTCTCTTCATTCTCCCCAGAGACAAGTGAGAGAAATGAACTCCCTGCAGAGCGAGTTCACCAAGTCGCTGGCCGCGGCCGACGCCTCCTTACTGCAGACCAACATCCTGCTGCAGCTGATGGAGAAGAGCCAGGAGGTGAGGCAGTGCTCCTTCTCTAGAAAAATCGGAAACCACCGAAGCCACAGGGCAGGGAAGCGCCGGGCAGGCCGGCCTGGTTCTCTCCAGGACGTGGCATCAGTGGGGAGGAGATAGGCCACCATGCCAGGAGGGTGCCCCGGGCGGAGGGGTGGATGGCATGTTCTCCTCGTCCGTTCGTATTGTCTGCCATGAGCAGATGCTGCTTGCATAATTTCGTCATTTTGAAACGGCACTTTCAAAATGCCAAGCCACCTTTGTTAGCAGAAAACACTAGGACTGATACAGATGGCATTTTGGAGATGTATCTTATGATCGCTATGTGCAAATGAGACAAAAAGTGTTTTCGTTTGGTACGACTTCACGCCCGTGGTAACAGCGCGGTTACAGAATTCACCAGCGGGGACGCCCCTCAAGGAAAATGCTCAAATGGTGATAAATGTTCGAATGGCGAGTGCGCGAGCACCACTAAGTACCCTAGGACGACTGGGGAGGGAAGGGGCTTAGAAAGCACGTTTCTTCCTGTGGCTTCGTGGGACGTGCCACTTAGGGCAGCGCTCAGGAAATGCACGCATGTTCTGTGCTAAATGGCTTGTCTGTGTTCACTCGGGAAACAGGACTATAAAAACCTCGCGGCCACAGTGAGCGAAGCGAGGCGGGAGCTCAGGGACAAAGCGGGCGCGCTCTCCGCATCAGCCGGCAACGCGGCGCTGGTGGCACGGGCGGAGGCACACGCGCAGGCCTTGCAGGAGCTGGCCAAGCAGCTGGAAGAGTGAGTGTGGGCCCCCCATGTGAGGACCTGCTGGGCTGGGGTGAAACCCCCTGGGCGGGCTGGGCCTCCAGAACAGGGTGGAGGGCAGGCCCAGGCCCAGGTCCAATCCCTCCTACAACAGGGGCTGGTTCCAGGTGAAGAGCGGGGGGGCGGGGGGGTAGAGGACAGGGGGGAGGTGTGAGAGCTGCAGGACCCAGGTCCCAGGTGTCCACTTAGCAGGTGCATGGGGGTCGGCACGGGCAGGGGGCGCTGCTGAGCACCGCACTCCCTCCAGGATTCAGCGGAACGCCAGCACCGATGAGCTGGTGCGCTGTGCAGTGGACGCGGCCACCGCCTACGAGAACATCCTCAACGCCATCAAGGCGGCCGAGGACGCGGCTGACAAGGCGTCCAGTGCCTCTGAGTCTGCACTCCAGGTGGGCACCTGCCTGCACGGGCACCTTCTCTAGGTGCCCTCTCCTCTGAGATGACGGCTTTCTATTTCCTTCTCTGTGCACCAAGGAATAGATAGATAGAGATGGAGATACAGATGAGGTGGAGATGGAGATAGAGATAAAGAGAGATAGAGATAGAGATGAGAGAGGTAGATATAGATGTAGATATAGATGTAGATATAGATCGACATATAATTATTACTTTAAATTATAACTTCCTAGTAGAACAAGCTGTTAAATACCAAAGAAGTAGGGACAGGCCTTATTAGAAGGTTGAAGGCTTTCATCTCCCAAAGACTGAAACCTAAAAGCAGCTCAGTCTGTCCTCAGTTACTGCGGAGGGAACTGTACCAGGGACAGTGAGCACAGGGGACAGGTGTGCTAGGTGTGCCATTAGCACGTCACCGAGATGGCCCGCTTCCCCACGCCACAGGGGTCCACCGAGACCCCTAACTCTCTCCCTTAAGGAACAGTCTTTTTAAACCTCCTCTTCACCATCAAGCCTCATTCTTTAAAGATGAAAGATGGGGGCTTCCTAAGCTGTGCCACCTGCTTCAGCTGACTCACGCTTGGCTTTCAGACCGTGATAAAGGAAGACCTTCCATCCAAAGCCAGGACCCTGAGCTCCGACAGCGACGCGCTGTTAACCAAAGCCCAGACGACACAGAGCAAGCTGCAGCAAGGTATTGGGGCGAGGGGGGTCAGGATACCGTCGGGGGCTGGATTATACTCCTCTGGGGGAGGGAGAGGCAGCCCGGAAAGGCCCCCTGAATCCCAGCGCCGGGGCAGGTGGGTGAACCAGGGTCTGTTTGTAGACTTGGTGTTCCTGCCCAGGATTCCAGCGTGAACTGACCTAACTAGAGCCTCATGACTGCAGGTGAACCTTGAGGGCGACCAGCCTGTTTAGGCCTGGCCTTTGGGGGCTACTGACGTTAACCTACTGTGGCCGTGGCACTGGGAACCCACATAGCGTAGAGGCGTGTGCAGAGCTGGTTTCTTCTTCTTTTCAATTTACCTTCACTGTGGAGAGTATTACAGATGCCCCCGCCCCCTAGGGACCCCCTCCCCCTCCCACGTGCTGGTTTCCTATTTAAGGTGAAGGTCATTCCAGGTCATTGAGGAGCTGCTTCAGAATTTAAGTCCTGACTCTTAGCAATTAAACGCATCAAAGCCACTGCCCCTGGGAAGCGTGAGAGTTTTCACTTAGATTTTATCATCGAAACATTTCCTTTTATTTAATGCGTCTCAAAGTCACCAAACTCCTGCGTTGTGAAAACGCTGTCTCGATTTCCTCTGGCCCCTGATGGTCACTCGTGGCCCAGCAGCCACCTGAAGGCCCAGGGCCTCCCTTTGCCCCTGAGTCCTTGCAGAGTTATGGTGGCTTCTGCCAGCAACTTTCTCTTTCTTTCATCTTTAAAAATTAAGTGCATGAAAAATAAAATACAAAAAATATGTATTGACATGTAATCATTTGCCTAGCAAATTTCAAGAATTAACATGTTTTTGTGTGACATCTGCTCCCTATGGAAGTGAGCTAAGAAGTGAGTCAGGGTTTAAACAGGCTTAGGCTGCTAAGCACGCTGTTCCTTTTTTTTGGTTTGTTTTCTACCAGCTTCATTAATTTACCCTTTTTCACCGTTTGACCCCTTCATCCGTTTCTCCCACCCCCACCCCCTCCTCTGGCAACCACCAGCCTACTCTCGTATCTCTGAGTTTGTTGTTGTTGTTTTAGCTTCAAGTGCAAGAGAGATGGTATGCTTTTTGTCTACAGTGCTGTTTAAACCAGCCCTAGAGCCATCACTTAAGCCGTCACCCACCATCAGTTTGATCTTAAAACATTCCCTGGTCATTTTCCCCGACCCCACATGGCAGTCTTACCCCCTAGGAGTGCCTGTGAGCGCTGTTCCCTTCACGGGATTCTCTAAATGTAGCTCATTTTCGGTTTGGAAATGAGCAGGAACAAGCAGTGCCCACGTGTGTGTTTGCTGGCACAAAGCTGGGGTGCAGCATGCCTTTCTCACTCTCTGAGCCGGAAGAGGCCTCCTGTCTGCATTCAGATGTTCATTCCCTCACAGTCATTCATTCATTCAGTACATACATACTAGTGTCCTGGCCGGTTTGGCTCAATGGATAGAGCGTCGGCCTGCAGGCTGAAGGGTTCTGGGTTCGAGTCCAGTCAAGGGCACATGCATGGGTTGGGGGCTCAATCCCCAGTGGGGGGCGTGCAGGAAGCAGCCGATCCATGATTCTCTCTCATCATGGATGTCTCTCTCTCTCTCTCTCTCTCTCTCTCTCTCCCTCTCTCCCTCCCTCAGCCTTCCTCTCTGAAATCAATAACAATATTTTTTAAGAAATAAAGTAAATATGCACGAGCATTCAGCCCCGACCCGTGTCAGACGCGGCACTTTGTGCTGGGACGGGGCCCCTCCTCCCGAAGCAGGGCCGTCTGTCCTGACAGCGCGGAGAGAAGCCCTCGGGGGTCCTAGCCTCTCCCTCTCTGCATGCGGATTCCCAGGAGCTGGACCGCGGCCTCGACCTGCTCCTACCTCTCTCACCAGAGGACCCCGGAGCCGGGGGTCTAGGCACAAGCGGTGGCATCTGTGGGGGACCCCTTACATGCAGGTCTGCTCCACGCTGTGCAGACCCCGGCTACCTCAGGGCCACTAACACCCTCAGGGATCAAACTTCACAGAGTAACTGCCTCTTCGTGCTCCATTTCGCTTTAGAAATCAGTCCGGCTCTGAACAACCTCCAGCAAACTTTGAAAATGATGACGGTTCAGAAAGGGACGATGCACGCCAATGTCACCACCTTCCGCGATGACCTTCGTGGGATGACGAGAGGTCCGCGTGCCCTGAGCCCCCGCCCCCTGCCCGGCCGCTCCTGCTGGGCGGCTCAGACACTCACCCTCCCTGTTTGTGCGTTAGATGGCATCGACAGCATGATCAGCAGCGCCAGGAGCATGGTCAGAAGTGCCAACGACGTCACAGACGCGGTCCTGGGGGGGCTGCACCCCATCCAGGAGGACGTGGGGAGGATTAAGGACGCCTACGGGAGCACCCGCAGCGAAGACTTCAACCAGGCACTCACCGACGCGGACAGCTCAGGTGCCGGGCGTTCGGGGCCAGGGAGGTGATCCATGGTCTCCCCGTCCTGTGCTCTGGTCACTTTAAGTTCCTCCCTGATCAAGTACGATCTTAGACATTAAAACATGAGAACACAGTTTCGAAAAACTAATTCAAAGAGTACAGGCAGGAGGTGCTCTGTTCGTTAGAAGGACCGGGCAGGACCCATTAACACTCTGCAGATTCCCCTTTTATAGAGGAGAGGGGGAGGTCCCTGAATCATGATTGAGCTTCAGGGTTAGAAAACCAAGATGTATTTTTCCTAAAGTGGTCGAGAGAGATGGTTTGACATGTGGCTGCAGAATAAAGTCCCTGGCGTGTTTAGAAAAGGTATGGGCGTCCTCCTGTTCGACATTGGAACCCAAACACACCCCTTGACCAGTGCTGTCACCAGGAGCATCTGTGTTTAACCTTCTCGGCTCACACTCATCAATGTCCGTTTCCTCATCTCACCGACAGTAAGGAAACTAACCAACAAGCTGCCTGATCTTCTGAGCAAGATTGAAAGCATCAACCAGCAGCTGTTGCCCCTGGGCAACATCTCCGACAACGTGGACCACATCCGGGAGCTAATCCAGCAGGCCAGGGATGCGGCGAACAAGGTGGGTGCATCCCGAGTGCCAGGCACCGGAGCTCCTGCTCGGAGAAGTCACCACGTTCACCGAGGGAGCGCGTTTTGTTCCCCGAGAGCCCGCTGTCTTTCTTGCCCTGATGGTCGGGTGTGTCGGGGACCAGACTGTCTCCTCTCCCCGAGTGTGTGCAGACAGAGGGCTGGGTAAACGCAAGCTCAGGGCCGGTTCTGTGGTCAGAATGTGCTGTGTGATGCTGCCCCGGCCCTGCTGCTGCTGTAACGGGAAAGCTGCAGAGTCACCTTGTTAGGAGGGAGGGACAGTTCCTGCAGCGCGGGCTTGTTCTGGACGTGGGGTGACAGCATTGTTCCGTCGTAGGAGCACAGATCCCTCAGCCTTTCTCCTGTTCACCCTTTTCCCCCATCGGCCCCT